AAGTTCATTCGAAACTGGAAATATCTATTTGTCAGGGAGTTCGAAAGTTGAAGATATCAAAACCATTCATAAAAAAATGGAAACTCTGGATTTAAAAATCTTATACTGAAAAGAAGGCGTGAAAATATAAGAAAGATCAAGAGGTTTAAGCCCAAACATGCCTTAAAATTTAAAAAAAAAAGTTATCTATACTTTGCTATTAGAACTCAGAAACGCAGTGGCGTAACAGCCCTATTGGACCAATGACAGCAGTGCCTCGAAATCTGCTTTCTTGACCGTGGGTCCCAGGGTGCGTAAGCATATGCCCTGAACAAGTGGTCAACTTGGTCACAGGACTCCCAATGTTTAGTCCTCAAGCGAGCTTGGTACTCATTTCATCGACCTAAGGGATGGAAATCAAGGAATGAAAGGCTGAGTCGACCTTGCCGAGCCCGGGGATCGAGCCCCAGACCTGTGGTGCTGCTGCGCGATGCGCTAGGCACTGCACCACCGGGCCTCAGCTATTAGATATTGTGCTATAAATATGGATAATTAAATGAACTACTAGAAAACTGATTTTGCGATTAAATCAAATAATATCTCTTATGCCATAAGATAAACGTATCGAAAATTTGGAGCATTATGAAAAAAGGAGACTAAAATCTTGACTCATATCAGCAGAATTTAACTTGGACTATTAAAATCAGTTTCTAAAGAAAAAGCATTCAGGAGCAGAGCCCGCACAAATCTTCATAAGATAGACCAACAAGAAGATTACGTAGTAATTTAATGTTCACATCGAAAAACAACTACAATTTATTCCCGACCTACTGCGTCCCACTAGTGGTCGAGTGGTTAAGACCGTTGAATACTGGGAGCTCGACATGGCTTGGTTTCGAACTAAGACGAACAGGTTGGTTGCATGTTTTTTTTTCGTGGTTTTCTCCATGTGTGACATAAATACGAGAGAGTTTATATTAGAAAGTCCTCTATGAAGGAATTTCTTCTCTTAGGCAGATACCCACGTGAGTTTGCCATAATCAAATAACGTCGTCCAATTTACGACATGTATAGCTAAAAGTTAATCTGAAGCAGTTTAAAATACCGAAGACAGAAAACTAAATTACAGTTAACAGAAAAATATTATTAAGAATTTCCTTGTATTGTTAAAGTTTGTTTTGAAGAATAAATTCATATGTAAATTAAATTGAAAACAGGAACATTTTTCAAAACATTTCGTTTACGTTACTCTAGTATTTAGAAAGGCTGGTTTAGTTTGGCTTGGTTTAGTTGATTATGGCAAAGCACACTAGGGCTATCTGCCTAAGAGAAAGGATGCCTTCGTAGAGGACTTTCTAAGTGAAACTGGCTTGTATACATGTTACAGATTGCCATTTCGATAGGAGAATAATTCGATGAGAACCAGAGGATTAATGGCTGCACATTTAATTTACTTAAGACTTTAGGAATTTATTTTTAATGGATGGCTTATTGATGTTTATAGAATATATTGCAAATTATATGAGATTAAATTTTGTAATACTGCATATAAATATAATTCCCAAATAGTGTACTATCATCTGCTGTTATCCTATACAATTTGATTTCCTTTGTGTTTTTCGCAAAAATTTTCCTTTATTCTGGTAGTTTGTAAATATTAAGTTTACACTCGTTCCGCAATAAACAAACTTAGCATTTTTTTTAAGGAAGAGCCCGATTAATGTAACTTCTGTTAATAGGAAGTAATGAATAATCTTATGATCTAAGTTTTAGTTTCATATGAGTGTTGATTTAAAAAGACAGATTTGTATAACTTATCTGTCTTATTCTCGATCTGTCAGAGTGCTAATTCACATCCAGCTAACAGTCGAAAAATAAAGGTGTCCGTATATTAAAATGAAAGGGGACTTCTGGCGCCAATAAATGTTTTTCCTCTCTCAGTGCTTCCAATATGCATCAGTCATCAATTTGGCGATAGCGTAGGTAATTTTCCTTTGAATTTTAGGTGTAATAACAATTCTCAATGATTAACAAGATTTTTCTCATCGATTCAGCTCTCACTTTTGCGAATAAAATACACTTTTCCATTTTTGCTGACTGCGGAAAGACCCGCGAACAAAAAAAGACGCTTATTTTACTATTAAAAAGACATCACTTTTCTGAAAAGAGTAGTTATAAATATCATTCCTTATTGGAAATTATGGTTCTAACAGCAGATATTTTATCAATAATCTTCTTACTATCCTGAAAAAACATTATTAAATGAATTAATCAAAAGGCGCTAATATTGAAAGTTCTTTGAATCGCATTCACAAGCAGTGCAGTGTTATAATTAAGAAAATTAACTGAATATCTGAGCTACAATAATTGACAGCTATCTGTCACTATCTGAAACGTTTCCTGAATAAACGAAATATTCATTAAATAAACTTTTAACTCAAAAAACTCTTTCGAAGGAGGCGTATTGTTTTTATTAACACGTAAAATCTTCTATCCTGGCAAAATACAATCCGCTGCTGCCATTCAACAAAGCTTACGTTCTTTAATTTATTGCTCAAATTTTATTGATCTGTTACTGATTAACATACTGGGTGATCTCACTTCTTATGATTTAAATCTTTATTTTATTTTTAATGATGCATCTAACTGACATAAATTAAAATACATTAAATTATAATATATGCAACTGAAAAGTTTTATGAACATTTTCAAATGGTGAAGGATCCTTTTTTCTTTGAAACTATGTAAAATTTTATATTAATGAAACACTTTCCAAACAAACATTTAATTAAAACAAATTTTAAAGTAATAAAATTGAAACATAGTTTTCAAATTTAAAGTTTTCAAAATAAATATTAAAATATATTTAATTATAATACAGTCAATTGAAAAATTTTATGAACATTTGAAAAGGAAGTATTTTTTACTATTTCCAAGAAACAAAATCAACAAAGGCTTTGCTGTAAATAACAAAGGATGTTTCAAGAGTTATATGTTACAAAATTGGTTCCACTATCTTTGTTTCTTTAAACAGTACAATATTTTATATTAAAAAATTTAAAACATTTTTTTAAAAATATTTAATGGTCAGTTCTTTTCTTGAGATAGCATTTAAAGTTTTCAGATTGATATAAATTAAAATACGTTTCGTTAGAGTATATACCACAGAAAAGTTTTATGAACATTTGCAATAGAAATGTTTTTATTACTTACAAGAAACAATATCCTTTATTATTTACAACAAAGGTTTTGCTATAAATAACAAAGGATGTTCCAAACTCTTCTTTGAAACTTAGAATTTAAAGTTTTCAAACTGATATACATTAAAACACATTTAGTTATAATATATACAATTAAAAAGTTTATGAACAATTGCAAAAGAAATACTTTTTATAACTTATAAGAAACAACATCCTTTACTATTTACAACAAAGACTTTGTAAATAACAAAGGATGTTTCAAGCGTCATATATTACTTAATTGGTGCAGGATCGTTTTTTCTTTAAAATTATATAAAATTGTATATGAAGAAAATCTTTTCAAACATAGTTTTGATTTTTTTAAAGTTTCTAATAGCAAACGGTTTTTTGAGACTTCGAATTGAAATTTTAGCTCCATATATTACGTTCTATGCCGTTAATACATGTACAGAGACCATTCGTACATTTTTTAGACGACTTTGCTTTGCTATAAAAAATCGCCTGCTTGGAAAACTTTTTTTTTAATTGCAACTATATTTTCCAATAAATTATTGTCTTGTGCTGGACAATTTTGTTTTCATGCAAAATGGCACTTTTAAAGGCAGAAAGAAGGCTATGTTTGTGCTCTTTCCGAAGAAAATTATTCGTAATTACATTAAAATTACATTAAAGTTACGTACATTAAAAATGCTGTGAAAGTCATGATTTTTCAGTATCTAAAGCAACGATAGATAATATTGTGAATAAGGAAAAAAGTCAGAGTTTGGATTCAAGGAGAAAAAGTATTCAAAATATATATCCGAGGAAAAACCGGAATGTTTCGAATGTTAAAAAAATCTGCGAAGGACAGTTGAATAATCATTAGAACGTTCAGTGTCAATCGTAAAAAAGTTATTAATGCTGATTTGAATCTTAAAAAAGCATCGTAATGTGCATCGTCTTTCTCCACGACATATCGTCGAGTGCAGAACGCGCTACAGAATTCTCTATGAGAAACAATTATTCGAACAAAAAATGGAAAACTGTTGTCACAATATATCAATCTTGGGTATATTTAAATAACCGCAACAACAAGAGATCCATTTATTATCATCAAAGAGAAGAAAAAAATAATAGTACAAAATCTTAGTTGAAAGAAAGTTTTTAAAACGGATTTATGATTGTTGTTGGTTTTTGATATAACGACAAAAAAATATTAAAGACAGTTCAGAAAACTGTTAAGGTCACCTCTACATATTATCAGGAAAATATTTTATACCCAATTTTCAAATATGAAATACCTTCTCTTTACCTACATTGCAGTTCGCATCAAGACAAAATAAGAAGCTACAAATCAAAATCCACTAATATATTCACGGAAAAAATTGAAAAAGAAACAGGTATCAAGACCATAAGCCTTAACTCATATCTCTACAAATCTTCTTATGTGTCATCCACGGATTTTTGTCCTTTTGGACGTTTATAAAACGAATTGTCCAAACGTCGACCTACAACCTTCATTGGACTTTGAAAAGTTTTTTAAGAGGAATAAGGTAAAATACCTCTTTTAATATTATAAAAAGCTTTATTGGCTTGGAAATTACGGTGCAGGAAGATAGTGAAAAATAAGGGTTATCAAATGGAACATTTAAAACACTAAAAGGTCAGGTAAAATATTTCTGTAAATACAATGAAAATCGTCTAAAAAATGTGCGAAAGCCATTGTTTTACCTTCAACTCTTTAAATTAAACTTACATTGTATTTTTCTTTAAAAGCAGAAAAAAAAGATAAAGAAAGTCTCATAAAAGAAATACACAATATTAAAGGAATTGTATCCATACTTGTATTGAAAGATGAGCCAGGGGAACAGAGAGCTTCGTTCATTTCCATCATTTTGTGAGTCAGATTGTAATACAGACGTCTGTTATATTCGCTGATGCATTCATTGGCCATTCGCTTAACACAATCGAGGTGAATCATTACTCGTCTGAAATAAAACACAGTAACACACTTAAGATTATAATCGCTGAATGCAAAGATGCAGAAGAAACACAGGTGTTATACTTTTTTTTATCTCCAAAAAAAAAAAAAAAAAAAAAAAAAATGACAGCTGAGCTGTTTTCACTTTCAGTCGAAGTTGAAAATCTGTGGTAATCCTAGTAACCCTAGACAAAGAGCCAGGGTTGACAGTTAGACGGGGGATTTTATTGAATATTGAATTATTTTACACGATTGTCAAAGTCACAGTTTTGCTTAGTAACATATATAAAAATGTAAGAGTGCAATTAATTTTAAGGTTATACACACAGGGAAAGTTACAATCCAATAGGAATATATGTACAATATACACAAAGTAAGAAATTTAGAACTAATGTTTCACAAAGACGAAAATTTTTTGGAATTTATAATTAATAAATTTCAAATAATCTAATAAACGTAATAAATATAAAAACAAAAACTTTTAAACAATCAATACCCCAGTCCAAAAAAATTTCTTAAAGAAATTTAAAAAAAAAATAACATAACAGAATAGTATTCAATCAGTTTCAGTGCTACTTCATCAGGGAAAAGGAACATTGAAATCAATTGAAATCTCTTTTCTACAACAATCTGTATCCAGAATTAGCCGATAACCATTTCAATGTATTTTAATTATAATAGTGCACCCGGAAATTCTGGCCTTTCCCCAAAGCAAAGAAAAAAATTCAATTAAAACTTGTACTTTAAATAAAGATAATTCTATTTTGTTTAAGGAATTGAAACCGAAAGTGAATAATTAAAATACTTCAGTGAAAAAAATAAATCAAAATTTTACTTTTAAACATACTATATCACATAATCCAAAATTAAAAGTTTTGGTTTTCTAGTTATTAAATTTTTTGTTACATTTATATTAGAGTATTTGAAATTTATTAATTATGAATTTTAAAAAAATGGGCCTTTGTGAAACAGTTCTAAATTTCTTACTTTATATCTTTAATTTGCAGCTTAAAGCGCGAAAATACTAGGCATATTTTTATTTTATTAAAAAAAATTGTTTCATAATTACAATATACACAACATATACTCTAGATACGTACACTACATATGTAACATGTACACTAGATACGTAATAATAATACATACAGTATTATTATTACATATCTAGTGTACATGTTACATATGTACACTAGATGCGTAATAAATAAATACATACATGTACGTAATAAATAAATACATATAGTATTTAGTATTGTTATTGAAACATTCAAAAGATGAGTGACTAATACAGAAGGATGTTAGTTAATGTGCTATTTCGGAAGCATTTCGAAATGTTTTAGCTAGTTTAAATTGGGCAGAGGTGTTTGTTAAGACATTGACGGAGCGTCAATAGCAAAGAATGAGGTCTATGGATGGAAGTTTTCTCACTTTCACAGAGCCATCAAGAGCCAAAACTGCATTATGGATCTGCTTTTACATGATCCTTTTTTTTTTTTTTTTGGCTGATTGTTAGCCCGCTCTAAATCCACCTTTCGGGGCTGATTGTTAGTCAGCTATAGCTTACCCCAGACAAGCAATTTATTGCTAAACAATTTTTTTTATATCTAAAACCGTAAACTTTTTTATCTACCTACCTATATACCTCATCCACAAAAGTCTTACCCGACCTTTCTGTTCGCAACCGTTGGTCATAGACATAGACTGTAATGATCCTAAGGTTTACTAACGTTTTTTTTATTTTAAAACTGTACTATCACTTCTTATTTTCTACTTCCGGCCAGAATTAAATGCTTTAACTTGTTTATGCAAATTGTATTGCTAACGCCCAAGTATTTAAGTTGTGGCTTTTTGCCAAGAGTTAGGGAGAGAGAAGGAGTTTTAGGAAGCAAGCCGCTGGCCACTGTAGTTTTACGAGTTTTCACTCGGTTGCTGGTTGCCTTTAAGGCCAGAGGTTTAGCCCCTCTTGATACTTGCAAACGTATTGTAGTTTCAGCATCTCTGCGTACTACATACGTACCCCCTTTTAATTAAAGGTCAGTCTTAGAGCTAGGCATTTGTATACTAATTCAAAGTTAGCTTTTAGTTAGAGTTTTAGTTAATAGTTTTATATTCTTACGTTCAGACCACAAGTGGTTGGTTTCTGTATTCCGAAGTTCGGAAGTGCCTGTAAAGTATTGAAAATAAAGGGTTTCGTATACGCTTCCTGCTTGTGTTGTCTACTTCAGACCTTCTTGAACATAGCTTGAGTAAGCTCCCTGTTCTTATTCAGGGCATTCCATGTTTCCAAAGCAAATCAAGAGAAACACAAGTCCTGACAAGACTTTCAATTGCAAAAATGTTTTCAATGACACAGAGATTCTTATTTTCGAATTTTTAATTTAGAGGATTCAATTTTGTAAAAATTTTGAACTCTAAAATTTTATTAATCCCTCTGGTCTCTGTACTTGACTTTTATTAAAATTTTGCATTCGCTATAAAATAAAACACACACAAACTTTGGCACCCGTACAACAAAAACTGGAGATATTTATCATTAAATTCAAGGATTATATTTACTGGTCAAGCACAAATTAAAGAGTGAAATGTCTGCATGTGTCCATAACTAAAAATCAAATATCTATTTAGAAAATGGTTTCTAGTTGTTAGAGACTATAGTGTAGTTAAGAGATTAATTGAGAAACATTTCTGTGCAGATTATTGCGAAAAGGTTTGATGAATATAAATTTCTCAAAACAGAATTTATTCACAAAATTTTATAGAATTCACGTTCTCGAAAAACGGACAAGCTTCAGCACTGGCCAGCAGAAAACTCGCAATATTATTTGCATTAATTTAAAAATTTAAACTATTTTAAGTTTAATTAATTTCTTGTACTGTTATTAGATTTCAGTTCTAAAGCAGGGCTTCTTAAACGTTTTTCAGTCGCGACCCCTTTTTATCACTGAGATGTTTTTCGCGACCCCAGGACCCCATAATATTTACGAAAATTTAGTGGGACCCCATAAGCATTGCGCAAATCCGACACAAGCGTGAGTGAAACTGTCAGTTTTTTCACTGTACTGTAATATACTATTGCAGCTTTAGGTCATTAACTTTAATTTCTAATTTTAAGACACAGAACAATGTGAAAATTTTAACAGTAAGTAACAGACGAAATGACAGCGTCACGTGCAAAGAAAGTAAAGTGAGCGTTTATGTTATAGAAAGAATGCGTCGAAACGTTTTTGTGTTTAAAAAAGTCTGTATTAAAGATTCATTCAGAATATTAATAACGTACTTTTAGACTTTTAAATGAATATTTTTTCAGCATACCAAATGCAATATTAAAGCCACTAGAAAATCCTAAAACACTACCCTTTAAATAAGTTTAAGCGGAACAAAAATCAACGCACAATTATTATAATTTATTTAATAACCGACTTCTCCATGCAAGCTAATTATGCCATCAAAAACTGCAAATTTTTAAATTAAATATCTCGGTTAAATTTAACTACACAGGAATCAAACGTTTTCTCTTTCATTTTTTATAACCAATTTTGACTGATACCTTTAAATTCAAAATGTCACTGCATGGATCTTTGTGACATTAAAAACAGTTTCAAAAATAAAAGCCGGGTAGAACTTTTGTGGACATGTACGTACAAATAAATTGTATTGGTTTCTTTGCAAAGCATAGTCTGAAGAAATACACATAGAAGAAAACAGCACAAGAAACATTCTCGTGCTTTAACAGTTATGACACTCTAGAAAAGATACTTTTTCCAACAGTAAAGCGTTTGTAGAGCTTCTCTGAATAGAAATTTTTATCAATAAACATCCATGTCCACGAGTGTTACGAAATAAAAAACACTGTTGCCAAAATAATTTAGTGAATTAAAAATATTTCTGTTACATCTTTATAAAATAGAAAGAAATTACATCAATAGTGTTATTGGGAACAGCTTGGTACAAATAGAAAGAATAAGAAACCTCGAGAGATAGAGGAGATTACATTTTATCCACAGAACAGTTTCCCCCAGGGCATTGCTTGAATGTCAAGTACTGAAGCGAAAATCCTATCACTCTAAAAGCTATGTGGAACTGTTTTTCCTTTTTCAGTTTAGAAGTATAAGGAGGAAAGGCTCTACATTTTAAAAGTAGGTCCCGAGAGCTGAGCAATTTTTCTATTGTTTTGCACCCTTAAATTAAAGTGAAAAGCAGGAAAAATCATGAGCTAGCAAAAGTTTCTCTGTTGAAGGTCTCTTCATAAGAATGATCAAATAAAAACTGAAATATTAAGTCAAATCAAAGATTCTTTACTTCCATTAATATCACGTTTTTCTTTATTTTTTGTGTAATTTATGTACACCATCCCCAATAAATGCATACCGAACCTTTATTATCGCAACTGTCGAGACATTTATTTACATTTACAAAATGTTTCAAATGGCACAATTATTCATGTTTGAGCATTTTTAACTTTAAAAAAATCACTTTTATAAAAATTCGCGAAATCTTTTTTTAGTATATCTTCCGGTCCTCATATTTATATTTAGGAAAATTTTGCACACATCACTAAAAAAAAGTTTGACTTCTGGTAAAATTAACTGAGTTATTTCAATTTGAAGTTGGAGACGATACATTAATTAATACAATTAAAAAAACTGAAATGCCAAGTTCAAAATTTTAGACGGTATAGTGGTTAGGGGAGCCGACTGCGATACCAAAATGGCCCGAGTTTGAATCCCGGAGAAGGCATTGTTGGAACTGTCCATTCCTTGATAGGAGGCAAAGAAGGACCGCAGGTACCTCCATTATAAAATGTGTGCGTTTTCATATAGCATACTTACGAATAGGACAAACGTTTTATTACAGCAAGAACATATATATAATTTACACAAAGTTAGTAACGTAACATTCCGCTGGCGTGTAGCGTGTACAGCGTTTATATTAGCGTGACATTCTCTTCTTGTTCTATAATCTCGACTCTGTGCCACATGAGACAGAGGCGAAACCGTGATCCGTTAGACTAAAGAGCGAATGCGTGGTATTCGTTACTAAGTCATTACAACTCTCGGAGCGAGACAGCTTCCGTTCTAAGGTGCAAGTTGCCTAAGGTGCAAGATGCCAATCGGAATTAGAGCCGTCCCGCCCACTGACGAAATCTACTATTTTGCGACCCTACAGAGCAAGGGCAGACAAGGCAGTACCAGTACGGTTCCTGCCGAGCCTTACTCTGTCCCGAGGGCCCTCAGGCCTTCCGTGAGGTCTGTTATTATGCCCTCGTGATTGAGACTGTTTAGGTACAGATCATAACCAGTACTTCCCAGGAATTCTCCTGAGTCAACCCCCGAGGGGAGTTAAATCATTACAATAACTTAAGTATTTTATAGTGGGATTTAGAGACCCATTGAAAGTGAATGTCCTCGCAACGTCCCTCGTTTAACTTTTATACTCTGTTCATGGAGGGGGGAGTTCGTATGCAAATATATGCCATCCATAGAGACAGGCTACAATTACAACAAAAATACTCACTGTTTTAATGAACTTGTGACATTAAGAAAAGTTGATAAACGATGGCTAAATAAATGTATTTTATCGTAGTTTCAGTTTTCAATATTAAATCTGTTAAGAATCTTACTTGCAGTGATCTCGTAGTTTTTGTTGAGAGTCAGGGAAGAAACCCCCCGAGTCTCTGGAATGCGTTCCACATTTCGAAACCACATCTGGATTTTTGCAGTCTTCATTCTTTATATCTCCCTCTCCTGAAATTATAAGAAATTGTTTATCATCGTAAAAATCGATTAAAAAGTATAAAAACGTTATATTTGATTAGCAGGAAGATATGACAGTTAGGTTTTTAGAGAACCACATCCAAATACTTAAACAAATTTCAAATTTTCTTTTTCTTTTCCTGAAACTATAGTGTCGAAATTAATTTTTTTTATTATTTCTAGCAGAATGTTGTAAACATATGTAAATACTTATCTATTTCATTTTTTTAGCATCAAAGATGCTATAAGACTCGATCCTCACTTTTTTTCTGATTGTCTTCTTCGTGATTTCTATGCTAGAAGAGCTTTTAGTAAAATTTACAGGGCTATGGCTATCCATGGGAGGTCCGGGAAGATTTATAGATCCCAAACCTCTTCCATGACTGTTTAGAATTCTTCAAATGGTAATGGATTTGCGCTTAGAAATAGCTCTTTTCAAATGATCAAAAGCACATTAGTACATATGGGAAACGTCAAGAGACTCTGCAGGGAGCACTTTGAAAAAGTATATATGCAATACCTATAACAGTCTTCATTTTTACAAGGAATGCAGTAGTACTTTTCAGAGTATGACTTATTGCTTTGTCGCGATAAAGTTTTCATTTTTTGAAAGTCATTAGGATAAAGAATTGGTATTTATTTTTCTAAATATCGAATGTCAAACTTTCTTTTTTACGCTGCGTTGCCTTTAACAATTTTTCACAGTCTTCTTCTTTTTAATTTTCTGTTGTGGAAGATTCCGGCAAAAATGATAAACCCCTCACTGAAATTTCTTTACATTGATGGAACTAGATCTGCGCACTTTTCATCTTTGTTTAGGATAGACATTTTCTATTATAGTCATTTAGGAAAACTCATGCTTCATCAAGAGTCACGATATATTTTCATTTATGTCCTGCTAAATAGTTTCCGTACAGTGTTCTATAGAGAAAAGACTGAAAAAATTAATGGCAACACTTAACACTGCATCGAGAATTTTAAATGTATGCTACTGTTAAATATTTTGTACAAAATCAGTCTAAAGTAGAACATCTTACGAAGTATATCTTAAGAAGCTAGATCTTACACAATTACTTAAAGGAAATATAATAATTTTCTGTAGAAACATTACCTAAAATACTATTACTTTATTATATGAATGTAAAATACTACTACTGTATTATATATATATATTTATTATATTTCACATCTGTTATCATAAAGATACAAAATGAGAGGTTCGATTTTGTATTTTGTCTCCAAAATTACGTTATTTTAGGTCTGTTTTGAGATTATTTGATTGCAAATGATTTATTCCTCTTAATAAAAATGTATATGGAAAATCTACCAGCTATTCATGAAGCACATTTTAGATTGTGTTATAAATTTCATGAATGGTCCAAGTATTTCGACAAAAGTAAAAATTCCCTTGAAATGTTGCATACGTTACAAAAAGTATATTTTAAAATTATAAAATCAGTTCTTGCAGTAAATATAACTTCCGCACATTTTACTTCTCGATTTGTTAACAGTTTACAAGGTATTTTCTTTCTCCTTTCCGCATGCCTTCGTGGTGTTACTGGAAGAACGCTCGACGCGTATTCAGGAGGTCCAGAGTTTGAATCCTGGGGAGGACAAAGCGGATTTCTTCAGTTTCCGGACATAAAAAAATTCTAAATGTTTCTATGAATGGGACCCAAACTAAAAAGGTGATGGAGAGTCACTACCAAGATTTGGCGACTGAGTCTCCTAATCTCCATTCTACCTTGAGAAAGGGGGAATATATGAGGTATTTTCTCCCTCCTTTCCCCATGCCTCCTTGGCGTAACTGGAAGCATGTTCGGCACGTGAGGCACTGAGTCTGAAGTCCGGCGTGACCACAGCTTCCCGATATCGAAAAATTCTAAATAACTCGACAAGTTTATTCCATCGACATGAAAAAGAATAAAAATTTAATACTTAGAATAATTTAATAGTTGCTTAGAATTTTACATTAACTTAAAATATCATTTTCTAATTTTTTTTAGCCAGATTTTATTATTAGTTTAGCTACACGGTTTTAGAAGTTAAAAAGAAATTATTCTTTTACAGCTGCATCTTTCTCTAATTTAATATGTAGATGGAAGCACATTTTTCGTCGATTGCGATTAGTAAGTTAACTAAAGACTGCAACGTTTTACTTAAAATTTGGTTATAAATATAATAAAAAACCAATTTAGTTCTGTTCTGCGAATAAATTAGGAAACAAGGAATGAATGTTATTTTTTAATTTAAAGAGCTGATTGAAAATTGCTGCAATAATTTAATAAATACAAAAGTATGGAGAAGCTATTTGGATCAGTTTCATTGAAATCTAATTAAATATAAGAATGCTTTCGCTTTACAAAATTTCACATACAACACTAAAAAAACTTTGAAATCCTTTTTGCTAGTTTTCTGAAATTATATTTCGTTCAATAGAACAGACTCTAAGAAACTTGCAACTTTTATTTTAAAGACTTCATCATATCTCTCGTTCTATTTGGCCGAACGAAGAAATTTAACTTGCATTTTTCATGTCTCGAAAGCACGACTTAAGATATATATTAGATTTATATAAAGCAATTGTTCTAACATAGGTGTTCGCACACAAAATCGGACTTTTTATGAAATGACACACCGATTTTTTTATATATTTCGATTCTACGACTCAAATTATGCCAATGTGCCAAGTTTTTGTGAAAATCACAAAGTAGTTTTTAAAAAATCACCTCTCAGAATTTCAGTTCCTTAATGTTAATTGAATTTGGTATATATTTATTAATATCTCTTTTTTATTATACTTACATCAGTCTTTCTTTCACAGTTAGAAATTATTCTATATTTCACAGTTATTCCATATTCACAGATGGGTTCAATCCAAATAGAATTCCCAGCTATTTTCTGATCCATTTAAAAATTTTTATTTTTAGTAACTTTTGTTAATTTTTCAAAAAACTTTTGAATCATAGCCTATCAAATTTTTACCGGCATCTTACAGTAGTTGTATATCGTGGCACACCTGCAAAATATTTGAGTTTTCCATTGAAAATTTCCAAAGACATTATTGAATTTACATATTGGCGCGTTTTGAAATTTAGCATAGTTTTTATAAGCGATAATAACGTCAAATGTGCTTTAGACACTTTGTTAAAATTATTAGAAAGTATGAAGGAAGTAACTTTTTTTCCGTTCGTGCACAAAGGAAAGGGGTAACGTAAAATAGGTTGCTATAAATTAAGAATTTCGCCAAGTGAATTATTCTTGGCGAAAACTGAAAGAAGTGCTCCAGAATAAATCTTTAAATTTCTCATAAGTTTCTCACCAAGTTTTATAGAATTTGAGATTTGGACATCATTTGAGCCGTAAAAGCGAAATATGGGAAAAAAATGGGCATGTCATTTCAGAAAATCTCAGATTTTGTGTCAAAATACTGTTAGAACAATTCTGTATTTAAATTTAATATATATCTCAAGTCTCGCTATCGAGACATGAAAAACGCAAGTTAAATTTCGTCAATTGGCCCATAAGAACGAGAGACATAGAACTGTCCCATTTTTGTTTTGTGCAAAATGTACCTATAGGAAATTAATTTAGGGAAAAAAGTACTTAAATATATATTCAGTGTTTCAACATGGTATTATGTTTTTCCTACTTTAAAAATTTAATTGATATTTAAAGTAGGAAAAACATAATACCATAGAAACATAATACCGAAGAAGATATATTTATTTATCTGATTTTAAAACATTATACTGATGTTTTACACATTATACGATGATTACGATTCATCTTATCTTAACTTGATCGACAGTCTGACTGACAGTTAAGAATACTTGGATATCTGACTGGTTAAGAATATTAAGCTTCATCTGCACCTGTTTTATAAATTTGTCTATGAGCATCATATATATTTCATCCTGTAGTTTATAAATATATAGGTTTATAAGATTCCAGACTTGCATCAATTGATGTTACCCACTAGTGACGAGCGTTCAGACGGATGAACAATTTTAGTTTAACTTCTCAGCAAACGAGCTGGCTGCATAGAAATTTCCACGGTTTTTTCCTTTTATAACATGAATAGCGATCAGTTTCCCGAAAGAAATTCTCAGCGCAGGTACTCCCTTCTTAGGCAGATACCACTGGCAGAGATCTGTACTCTGCCATTATCGACACCCGGGGAATAAAAACACGAGTTTGGCAGTTTCACATGTTCAGGTAGGAGATGCCTTGAGACGAATCTTCATTGCCTCAGTGCTGGAGTGTTTGCTTAATGTCTGTGAAAGTACATAAGCCAGTATAGCCCTAGTGTGTAGCCAATTTGATGATCAGTGAAATCTGCAGGTTCTCTGGTTCTCACTACCGTGGTGTCTGGCCACAGGGAGTGGTAGCCTCTTCTGGTCAGTTTCGTTGTGGTTTAGGCAGAAATTTAATTAAACTCTCCAGTCCCGATTGGCACTCCTTGGCGTGCCAGCAGGCTTGAATAATTCTAAATCTGTGGGGAATATCGATTGACGATTTAGTCTCCAAGGTAATATGGAGGATACATATAAATGTGGCCGATCCGTGTACTGCCCGATCTGGCAGAGAAAGTATAAAAGTAATTAAAAGTATAATCATTATTAGGCTATACCATTTGATTTTGCCACTATTCAAATAATTACTCAATACGTATCAACTGAAGATACTTGCATTTTTTTAAAAATTATTAATACAGTAAATCTCTGCTACGAGACAAATTGAACGGTTCCTCATAATAGATTATGATCCCTATAATGTCAAGACTTTTTTTTTTTGATGTTTTGTGTGTTACGTTTATTTATTAAATATCATGTTCTTTGCACTTAAAAACCATAAAATTTAGTTCAATAGCAATGTCGCAAAATAATTTTAAAATGAGCCTATCTTTAGAATTCCCGATACACAGTTCAAGCGTTGGAGATAAAACGTTCTTCCCCCCGTAGAGTATTGCCATTGCTCGCTTTTAAATC